TTGAGCATGGCATGGGACTTCTTCCCGACGTGAAAGGCTCTATACAGATGTAATTTTGTTGTTGGTGTAGTGGAGGGGAGAAATAGCAGTGGAAATAAAAGGCTGGGAATTCCATTTCAGTCTAGATTGAATCTATTTATGTAGCATTTAAACTATGTAGCTTAGACTCTCGGCAGCACCTGGGGAGCTCTGCTTTGTCCGAGGTGCTGTCTACCTGTTCAGGTATAGAGCCTGTGTATTTTGTAGATGAGAAACCATACCCAATTTGCACACAGCAAGTTGTCTTGGGTTGGAAATGTTCTTTCCCTATGGCTCCTTAGGCTGATTGTAATTGGTAGAAGGCCAACCGTAAACAGAACGTAAATGTAGTGATTTTATAATCCTTCCTCCTTTATTAATGGAATCCCAATTATAGTAAGTCATAATAGAAATGCAATCTATGATAGATCCCTAGTGGCTTTGAGTTCAAGCCCCGCCTGGAGCTTTGATCTCATTCTTGCCTGAGACGCCAGTGCAATGTTGTGAAAGTGTTATATTGTCAGAGCCACCAGAATCAGATGAAGTGTTAAACCGAAGTCCCGTCTGCTCAGATGGATGTTAAAGATTCTGTGACATGATTAGAAAAGAGAAGGGAGTTTCTCTCGATGTCCTAGACAACAATCCCTCAGATACAATTTCCCGTTCACTTAATGGCTGGTTGCGGCACATTCCCGTGAGCAAATTAGACACCGTGTTTGCCTACCAACACACAGTCCCTACACTTGACAATTTCCTGTATTCTAGGCGCTGTATTAAATACAGGAATTATGATTTAGGATTTGGAGAGATTTGGGAGCAAACTCTGAGTTACTGAACTTCAGTTCTAGTCGGCTGGGATTTCAGTTGCACTTTTTCTTCTGGCAATTGCAGCCACGAACGAGCACATTACAGATATAAGCAGCTGCCGGAGACTGCCTCTGTTTAACACTACGCCTTTTCACAGTAAACCTTCTTCTCATGAAGCTGTAATGAGCAGCCTCTTGTGGTAACATTCATTATTTATGCTCCTTTGTTTGTTCCTGCTGCTTTACACTGTAATTTCACTCAAGTGGTTCTGCACAATGGCATAAGTCTGCACCTTTTCATAAACACCGATTGTTCTCGCACTCACTCACACACAAGAAAATGAAACCGGGCATGTATTTTCCAGAGGGGACGAGAACCTATTATGGTTTACCGGCGTTTTCAGTGAGAGAGAGAGAAATTGTGGCTCAAAGGCACAGAAAACTGTAGGCATTTCTGTCTGTGCTGAACATGTCCCATTATATTAAACAACACACAGCCACAATGCCGTATGGAATGCTGTCTGAACCACGCCTGTTGGGTACATTTTAGTGGCTGAGGAGATGCATTAGCAGTTCATTGTTCCAACCATATTCCTGTAATTCACATCTGAAATCTTGTCATTTAAGGAAATATCGGATAAAAATTATGGTATTTTGTTCCTCAAATTAGTCCAGAGATTAGTTTAAGAAACACATTGAAAAAATATTTTAAAAATGTTCTCCCCTACCACCCTCCATTTCCCCTCAAATCACTTTAATTACCGTAAATTAGTTAAAGACAGCATATAATGGAAAAGCATATCAAAGCTCTTGGCAGGGAATTGTGTAGTGTCAAGTGTAGTGACTGTGTTTTGTAGGCGAACGCGGCAGCCAATTTGTGCACAACAGTGTCCTACAAACAGACCAGTTTTATCAGGGGGATTATTGACCAAGATACTGTGAGAAACTTCCTTCTCTTTTCGAATAGCACCATGGGATCTTTACAGTCCACTTGAACTGACAGACGGGACCTCAGTTTAACGTTTCCTCCAAAGGACAGTACCCACAACATCTCCTCCAGCTCAGCACTGGAGTGTCAGCCTGGCTCATAATCTTGAAGCTCTGTACCATATATTTTTGAGGAGTTTTTTCTGCTACTTATTATCCATACGTCTTTGTTATTGTTATTTTTATCCATATTTATCAAGATTTTATTTTTAATGTAAAATGTTACTCTGGGGAAAAAAGTCAGTTTGCAGGAGCCTCTCATCAACGCGATGCAGTGCCTCCTGCTGGAAAGTGCCTGCGTGTAATAACCAAGTGAGAACAGGATTGAGCTCAGCTGTGATGCGCTCCAATCGAGTGACCTGCCAGTGCTCGCTGGCTGTGCCTGCGAATGAAGAAAGGGGGCTTTACAAGCTGTGCATCTGTTCCCATGTGCACTTCAGAGCCTTCAGGCGATGAGGATAAAAGATTGGGAAAATAATCAAAGAAGGTGAGACTGTTTACCATCTGGGCCAGGCTGACACACTTTGCATACATTAAAGGCGTCAGTCTGGCTCAGATGGTAGCACTCTCGCCTCTGAGTCAGAAGATTTTGGGTCCAAGCCCCATGTCGGGAACTTTGAACTCAAAATCTAAACCAACACTCTGGTGCAGGGATAGGGGAACCCTGCACTGTTGGTGGTGAAGTCCCGCCTGTAATTTAGGTGGTAGTTCCCTTGGCATTATTCAAGAGAGGAATTTCTCCGGGTATCTTGGTCAATGATGCCGTGTGGGGGTTTATTTAGAATTTCACTGACACTATGTTAAAAACCATGAAGGAGATATCTGCATTTACAGCCACAGCAGGCTACAAAGAGTGCTGTGCAGGGGTATGTTATCACACTCATGCAGCCGTACAGCTGAGTGTTTATAATCAGATGCTTCTGGTGAGAAGGTGATGGTTGGAATCCTTCAGGTGAGATTTAAAGCCAGCTTCACACTAGTGTTTGCAGAAATACCTGTGCTGACACAGGGTTTAAACCCACTCATTACAGGATGATATCAATGGATAGCGGCTGTCAGGGGCAAACTGGCAGGAATTTATCTGTCGGATAATCTGCCAAAGGCATCTGCCTTTCTCCATTTCCTGTAATTAACTTGGGGACTTCTCGATTGCACCAGTTAAGCTGTCATTTATTGCGCTTTGAAAAGCATGAAAGTGGCAAGTTGTAAGATGGGGGGCTTTTACAAACCAGTCACTGTATTGTGTCGTGAATCAGGCCTGTCAGATCTTTGTCACTTAGCGTTTCTGAAGATCCGTTACACTCCATGCAGAAGAACATTCTGTATCACATCAATTTTAGCAGGGTAGAAATTACATAGAACATTACAGCACAGAAACCGTCCATTTAGCCCAACTAGTCTGTGTCAGTCTTTATACTGTACATGATTCACCATCCCTCTTTGCTTATACCCCTCTATTCCATTCTGCCTTATGCATGCTTCACGTTTCCTCTTAAATACAATTTTTTTTTTGTTTTGACCACAACTTTTGACACATTCTCACCACTTTCTGCATAAAGAAACTCCCTCCTGAACTCTCTTTTAGATCTTAGTTTCCCCCCAAAAATACATCAATTCACTAAACAGTAAGGCGCTATATCAAATCTAAGGATTATTATTATTTGTTTAGTAATATGCCCTAATGCAAGGAAGTCAGTCATGATTAAATGGGGGAGAATGTGGGATGTGATGTGGTATTTATAATTGGTGATCATTAGCACTATCACATCACATACTGTATTCTATCCATCCTCTTTTCCCCATGTCTCTTTAAATATGATTATACATATTTAATTCTGATTATGAGAAAGGTGCCCAGGGAAATTGGACAGATAATAATAATCTTTACATTTGATGTAGCGCCTTATCATGTCTTCGATACGTCTCAAAGCGTTTCACAGGATATACTGTAAAGTCAATTGACTGTTTATCTTGTGGGCGATGTTAAATGTGTGTTACTGGAGTTTTCAGGGACAAATGGAAACCACCACTCAGGTCAGAGACTCATTGCTGGTCAATGGACTTGTGCTATGTGGGAGGCAATAGCTTTGGAATATGAAAATTAGGTCACAGTGGGAGACTGAGAGAAAATGGAGAGCATCGATCTTAATTGTGGAAAGGTTAGTCAGCTCACTGTGCTTGCCATCCATCAAGCCAGCTCATAATAAATTTGCTTCCAGTGAAAAACAGTGTTTTTTATTTTTGCGTTTGAGGAAGCAGATGGATGCCCAATGCTGTTGAGTTTAACTATTTCATTGCTTTATATTGGGAGGGAAATTAATCCAGTTAATAGGCTGACTCTCCAGGGGGTACGCAGCAATATCAGAGCTGTTGTCCTTCAGACAAAATATCAAACAGACCTCATCTGATTGTTCAGGTGGATATTACAGATCCCGTGGCACTTTTCAGAAAGAGAATGGAGTTTCTCCCGGTGCCCTGGCTACCAATCCCAAATAAATTGGGGCAGCGAACTTGCCCACAGTGCCCTTCATACAGGATAACATGCACTTTGCAGTGACAGGGAACATGCACACTGAATAACAGAGACAGGAGAGGAGGAGGGAGTTAAGAAATCTGTTATGAAATGTAGAAAAATCGACCCCATGATGTTCTGCACATGGTTGGATTTTACTGGAGGCACATTAAAAGCATCAGTTTCCTTCAACTGTGAAATAATAAAAGTACTGAGTAATTGAACACAAAGTGAATGGATTTCACATGTCATTCTTTATCAAAAGACAAGGATCCGGGCCGATGTTGCCCAATACTTGAGCAGGTCTCAAACCTACCACATTTTAGTAACCCTTTACTGTTATTGCTCCTCTATCTTTTACATGAGCCCTACAACCAAGCTTTTGCCTGCCTAGATATACGTTAAAGATTCCATCATACTACTTGACATGAGGACAGAGTTATTCCCAGTGTCCTGGCACATAATCTTCTAGACAATTTGACCATTGGTCATAGCAACTACCTCTCATGCCTACAAAAACAGTCACTACACTTCACAGCAATTATCCACCTGTGAGACGTTTTGACAAGATGACGCTATTTCCCCCCTCCCCCCCACCCCCTGTGTTGCCCAGTCTTGTTGCGGGATGGTATTGTGGTCAGTCCATTTGCAATTGTTTCCTTGACTTCGTTCCTTACCTGGTTCGAACGGTTAAGCATGCTGGTGATCGTGATGAACTGCATCACCCTTGGAATGTTCCAACCTTGCGAGGACAGCAAGTGTAAGTCGGAACGGTGTAAGATTCTGCAGGTGAGCTCTTGATCTTTCCCTTGGGTCCTGGCAGAAGGGGCAGAGATGGAGCTGGGAGACCTGCGGAGGCTTTGACGTCTGACACCAAGGTTCAAATCCAGCTGCGAGTGAAAGGAGAAAGGAGCATCATATTTTTTTAAAAATAAGTATACGTGCACCAGCTTTGTCTTCCTCCACCTTCATATCAAGGATTGTGTCAGCTTCTTCTTAAAATGTGGCAGACCATTTGCATATTAGTAAAATTCAGGTCATTCTCTGGGTTGGACAGGCCATTATACTATCAAAACTGGTGCTGATTGCCAAGTGGTCATGGAACCATAGACACTTACAGCACAGAAAAGGGACATTTGGCCCATCATGGCTGTACTGGCTCTCTGTTTTAGTCCTATTCTCCTGTCTTCTCCCCACCCCCACACCCATATTTCTCCTTTTCAGATATTTTATCTAATTTCTTCTTAAAAACTAATATTTTCAGGCACAGGCACACTGGGATAAATGGCCTCTTTCTGGCTTAAGATTCTATGAATATTGATTCTGTCTCAATCGCCATTCCAGGTCAAATATTCCACATCCTCACACCCTCTGTGTTTGTTTTTTAAAAAAAACTTCTAACTTTTTGCTCATTTCGTAATTAACTTAAATCTGTGCTTTCTAGTTACTGAGTCACTGGCCAGTGGGAATAATTTACCCCTGTTTACGTTATCAAAACACCTCATATTTTTAATAAACCTCTACCGAGACTCCTCTCCACTTTCTTTGTTCTGGGGAAGACAGTCTCATTCCCCCATTCTGTAAGACTGCTGTTGAGAAACGCTGTGCTCCATGACCTGCAATGTTCTCTTCATTCATGAGTGTTAATCAATACTTGAAGGAAAGATTACTCTATTCCCATGAAGGAAAACAAAAACAGGAACCTTGTTAAAAAGGTTAAACCATGGGCTGAGTCCTGAGCGGCCAATGCGGAATAAATAAGGCAAACAGGATGCTGGGCAGTTGTCAAATCAAATGAGTTCAGATCCTCAAATCATATTCAGGCTGCATAGTGCCCTGGTCAGGCCACATCGAACATACTAAATACAGTTCTGGTCACCATGACTTAAGTGGGCTCTAGAGTCAATGCAGAGGAGAACAACGAGAATAATCCTGTGTCAGAGAAATGAGCTATGCACAGTGAATAGACATGCTAGGGCTCTTCAGTCATGAAAGGAGATGTGTCAAAAGAGCAGTGTCAGGACACCAGGAAATATTTCTTTATCTGGAGAGTATTTAATGACTGAAACAGTGAACTTATTTGAAAGAACAGCTTGATGCTGTGATGGTAAGATGGTAGGTTGAGTATTCTGGAAGAATGAAATAAGATGGGCCAAAGGGCCTTCTTCATCCGAAATTATCTTGTGAACACTTTCAGTCCACATTGTTTCACCTACCAATGTCTAATGCTACCCTCTTTAAAATCACCCTCATATCTCTCATGTACATGACTAACAATTAACAATAGGTTAATCCAATAAGCAATTTGCAAAGTAATGTCCAATTTTTTTTAGGATGTGTTGAAGTGCTGGTGTTTCGTAAAGAGAAATGAGGGTTGTTACACCATAAACTAGGATTGGCAGTCAATGAACTTTTCTTATCAGTGCCGGTTCTGACACAAATTGGATAGGCTCTCTTTTAAGCCTTGTTCATCCCTTCAAAGGTTAAGCAGCCATGAAGTATTTTGCAAGCCATTATGTATTCATTTTGTACGCATTAGCATGCAGATTGTCTGGCACTGTCTGTACATGACTTGTACAAGATCGGATCAGCAATGCATGAGAGAATCTCTTCCTCACACGTAGAGAAGCATTTAGTTAGCCACTCATCAATAGAAGCCTGTGCAAACTTTTTTGCTGTTGCGATGTGTGCCCATCAAGATGACAGATGTTGTTTTGCTGCCAAGTTATGGAGAATAGAGTAAGCAGAGTCGTGGAACGCACTCATTTTTCAACCACTGGTTAAACATTTTCGGGTCAGTTTTGTAGAGCCGTAAACATTTACACCACAAAAGGAGGTCATTCGGTCCATTGTGCCTGTGCTGGCTCTCTGACAGAACCCTCTGTTTCGTCCAATTCTACTGCCTGTCCACACCCCCACATTCTTTTATATTTCTCTTTTTTTATAGATATTCATCTGATGCTGTTTTAAAAACTAATAGTTCTGCTTTAACTACAGTTCAGGGTCGGGCATTCCACATCCTAACAACTCTTGGTGAAAATAAATTCTCCTAACCTTGCCTTTTGTTCTTTTGATCAATCTCATAAATCTCTCCCTCCCTCAAGTTATTGACTTACCAACCAGTGGAAATAATTTCTCCCCATTTACTTCATCCAAACCCTTCAGTAACACTGGATACACAGCAAGCAGAAAACATACTCCCCTCGACAATACCACTGCCCCTCCCCCCCGCCCATACCAGGACCACCTTAAATGAGTGCTCCTCCCGCCCCAATGCCACCAAATAACATTCTCCATTTTCTGCACCAGTGGGTTTGGGCTGTGAGGCAACACTGACCAGGAACTGGATTGACTGTCCACAAATGCAATTCACGTAGGTCCCTGCACTAACCAGATGCAGCACCTACTCAGGCCATCAAGGGTATCTCCTGATTTTAGCCTTAAGACCACCGTCCGACAATTTAAGTTTCTTAAATTCAGCCTTAATTCAACTATTTTCCATCAACTCATTCTGTTGTCTCCCTGTCTTCCAAAACTCAAGTTGAGAATTTTCCAAAATATTACATTTGCATTTTAAGATGATGGTGTTAAGGCAAAAGTGATAAGGAATTTCAAGCCTCTGGTCTGGTTCGGTTCTAACTTAGTTGCTAAACCAAAGCTAATTGCATCAATACATATGCAATAGCATAGCTTTGTCAGCTTGGCGTAAAAGGTATAATTTTAGCTCAATTTAAAAAAGGTATAGACTGCTTCCTGATTATGTGAGAATCAACTGAAATTAAATTCTTTTTAATGATAAAATTAGTTCAGTTTTTGTGATATGTATAAAATTGAACATTGGCTGAAATGAATTTGACAAAGATTCATCTATAATCTCTCTGATGCACACCCAATTATACACCACAGAAATGGGACTTTTGGCCCCTCAAATCTGCACTGATGTTTTTTCCCCACATTGAGCTGTCCAAAGTAATCGCGCTCTCCCATTCACTACCCCATATATGCTTCAATATTACCTTTTTTTCAGTATCTATCTAAATTGGATTAAAGTGGTGCAGTAGAGATGCAATGGGGAAAGAGATGGGAATGGGATTAGAGTAGAGAGTACCAGCGGGGAGCGAACACCAGCACAGAGACTGGCATCCTCCTGTGCAGTAAAACCTTCTCTGATCCTGTCTCCATCGGAATATGACTTTCTGTTCCTCAGGGCTTTGATGATTTCATCTTCGCGTTCTTTGCTGTGGAAATGGTCATTAAAATGATCGCGCTGGGCATCTTCGGCCCGAAGTGTTACCTTGGCGACACCTGGAACCGTCTAGACTTTTTCATAGTCGTTGCAGGGTAAGTGACGACAAACCCTTTGTGTGTCCCATGTAGAGTTAAGTGACCTGGCTCTTTCCAAATGTCACATGTGCGATGGGTAAAATACAATCTTCACCATACATACAAGTCTCTAAAACCAACTGTTTCCACATATGTCTGGTTTCCATTTGTCTGGAATGGGCAGGTAGGGGATTCTCAGAGGAACATGCACTGCTCACCTAATTTAAAAGAGTTTAGGTGCAGATTGACAGCAGTCAGGTTCTGCTTAGCGAGTGTTGATAGCTACCAATAAGTTTGTAGGTCACTGGCATTTCACTGTTCTCTCAACAGGTCCAGGTGGCGAATCAGTGAGCTGCACTTAGACACCCAAGTAGACGTATCTCTGGACCTTAAGTAGACTTGATGTGCTCTTTAGTCAGAGGTGAATCAATAGCAGGAAGGTTACCAGGAAAGGTGATTAAGGCCAGGACACTGGATTCATTTAAGGAATGGCTTGATGCTCCAATGGGAGGATGGTGGAGTTGGGATTCTGGCGGAATGAGATGAGATCGAAAGATGTGCTGCCTTTTTTCATTCAGGACATTCTTGTATCCATGTGATCACATCCTAAGATTAGTTGCCTTTGAGACTTGCAGTTATGCTCCATCTTGAAATCAATGATGAGGGGGACAGGGACCCAGTGGAGTTTAGCGAGGAGGGGAGTAATGGGCTTGTCGTGGGTGGTGAGGGAGAAGGTACAGGATATGAGATAGTTTCCTCAGCACAGACCAGGAATCGAACCTGGAAGCTTCCTGTTCTGTTCGGCATAGTTTCTCACTCCATAATCTTTCTGAATCATTGGAGTCATTACATTGTTAGCCCCCAAGTGTGAAGAAGTTCTCAGATCAGTGCAACTTCCAACATAAGATCTGAAAACTCTTGCCATCAACTGATTCCAATCATTATTTTACAGCTTGGCTTGTGTTCTGGCTTCTCTCGGCACAATGAAAACAGATGTTCTGCGCTAATCATTGATAGGAAACCTAAAAAAAATGTTCACTTTGGTTTCCCCATGGGCTGCGTAAGATGTAGACTTCTGTTTAAGTGAAGCAGAACGTTTTATGTGAAATAACACTGTTGCTATGGGATCGCCCCAGATCTATTTGTTCATCTCCTAATGGGTGGGGTGGTCCTAAATGGAGAATCAGCGTGGAGCTTGCCAAACAGCGCTCTCCATGACAAGCTATGAGGTTTCCGGTAGTTAAACTCTCGCAGTTACCCCAATATATACTCTGGGGTCCCCAACACTTGGCTTTTGCCAACCTACCCTTAATGCTCTCTGGTATTTGGTAAGCAACAACAACAGCAAGATTACATTTGTATAGCGCCTTTCATGTCAGGAGGACATCCCAAGCAGGATGTAACCCTGCAGGGAGAGCGTGTGCATTTCATTCCAGACGCAGCGAAATTGCCATACAAATGCAGAACTCTCAGTCTGGTTTAGATATTTGGAAAATATCATAAGGAACTTCTAAACTGGTTCATTCACTGGATAAATATCCTCACATTAGGAAACCCCTTTAAACTATGAAGATGCCCAGAAAGCACTCGTCCCAGAGTGTCTGAGAGAGGATGAGTCTATGAATCTTTTTGCTGCTCCATCTAATTGTTACTTTCTATCTGATTTCAGTATGTTAGAATATTCACTGGACCTGCAGAATGTCAGTCTGTCCGCAGTCCGCACTGTGAGGGTCTTGAGACCGTTGCGAGCTATTAACAGGGTCCCGAGTAAGTATTTGTTCCTATAACTGAATCTTAATACGTTTTCTAAGATGTATGATATGCCTGCAGGAAAGAGGTCTTTGTGGAACATGTAAGTGATGGACCCCAAGCTGTGAGATGCAGAGGAGTAAAGCCAATGATCCTTTTCTTATGAACAGCATTGCTAAGTGATTTTACTTTATCATGTGCATCGGAGTGAGTGTGAATTCAGTCATTTGCAGCAGAAACTCCTCTTATCCTGTGAAATGAACGGAGGATTTGACTGCAAGTAAGGCTACAATTAGCAGCCATTTCACATACAGAATTAACTCACTGCATCTTGCATTGTATTTATAACACTTTTCCTGACTGTTAAGCCTGCAGGGCGTGCGGGGGAGAAACAGCTCACTTGGGGATGGGGCTGTGTGAAAGTTTGCAGCATGTGGTGTCAATTTTCACCAGTTATAATTAACACCTACTTGATGAATGTGAGACTGGTCAATCCAAGTATGTCCTCCCCGCCCCCCCCCCCCCCCCACCCCTCCACCATCGACACTGACAATAGTTTGATCTGAAGTTGTCATTGTACTTTCAGCCACGGAGTTTGGCAACTGGTAAGTGACCGTTTAGCTCAACACATAAATGATGCCATAGATGGCTTTGGGACCAAGAAATACTTCTCTGCCCTGAGATTGTAGTGCAACAGAGAATTTGTGTCCCCTTATTTTGTTGTCTCATCTAAAGTGCATCTAAAAGTAACTACTTTCAAACAGCCAAACTTTACAACTCCATCAGCCCAGCATCTCTTGAAGATAAATAGCCCAACCACAGCTGGACTTCCAAGATGTCATATTAGAAGCCACTGATGTGGGTGATGCCATTAATTACAATTAATGTATCCCTAGCTATGCTGTTGTACAACATTTCTGAGGCCAAAAATTCTTAATCTTCTCAGTTTTAACGACAGTCTGATAGATGACTAAAAGCCAGGCGTGCTCCGTTTAATTCTTCCTATAATTAAGTAAATTAAATTTTTGACTCAGCTGGGCATAGCTCACAACTCCAAAATATGATTCCCACTGTGCAAAGACATATGAGGCTGTGGTAGGAGAGGTAATAATTGTATCTATCATTATTGAAAAGATTAACTATTGTCTAGGGTGATTTAATCACAAGCACCATGAAGGGTTTTGGGAGTTGATTAAATGTGAATCTTTGCAGTGAAAGATGAATGTGATACAAATTGGACCCAGAAATATATAGAATCATAGAATCTTACAGTACAGAACGAGGCCATTCGACTCATTGCGCCTGTGACAGCTCTTTGAAAGAGCGATCCAACTAATCCCACTCCCCTACTCGTACTCCATAGCCCTGAACATTTTTCCTTTGTAAGTACCTATCCAATTCCTTTTTGAAAGCTATTATTGAATCGCCTTCCACCGCCCTTTCAAGAAGTGCATTCCAGACACTCTCTGAGTAAATTCTTGTCTCCTCTCTGGTTCTTTTGCCAAATATCTTAAATCTATGTCCCCTGGTTACAGACCCAGCCACCAGAGGAAACTATCAACTCTATCAAAACCTATCGTAATGTTTCATCTCCATTAAATCTCCCCTCAATCTTCTCTGTTCTAAGGAATATTTTCAGTGACTGTCGCTAACCTGCATCTGGAGAAATCTTCACTACTTTTTTTTCTGACTGCCAATTGTAAAGGGTTTTTCTTTTCATTTAAGCTTCTGTTTTTTCTGTTTTTTTGTGGTGTGATACGTTCATCCACTGGGGAGGAATGGGGAGGGGACAGGTGCTCTTTCTGATGTATTGGACCAGAGTCTCCCCAGTGATTATACCCACCTCCCCCTCTCCCATCTCACACTCTTGACTTTATTAGTCATGCTGTCTGTCAGAAGAGATTATTTGTGATACCGAGTGCCCTTTGCAGCTTTTGGAATATGGAAATCTCTCGCCATCAGAAGAATTGATTTCATGCAAATCTTTTTCCCCATTGAATATTCATAGATCGTGCCTTCCGTGACTCTCTTCCTTTGCTAGCCTTTGTCTGAGAGTTTAAAAAAAAGAGAGATGCAATAAACGCAAACAAATCACCCAATTCACAGTTTGACCAACTTGAGGTTGGTTTGTAACCCTGGGATCACAAAGTTAGAGATGAGGGAAATTGTACATTTCTTAACCAGACTGAATTGTGGCATTTAGCCTCACCGACCAGGAAGGTCAGATCTGCCCCATGTTCTTTCCTGAGGTTACAGATCTCTGGTAGAGCAGACGAGGAAACTGTGTATGTTTCAGTTGATACATACATGTGTGTGTATATGTGTATACATATGTGTGTGTATATATGAAGTACCTGTGTGCGTGTATGTGTGTCTCTGTGTGTAGATGTGTGAATGAAAGGTAATTTTGTTGTTGTTGTTGAGGGTATATTCCTGTACGCACACATGTTGTTGCCTGCATGGACATGATCACTCGTGCACACCCACCATGCATACACAACCCACATGTGCATGTAGGCACATTGCATTAGGCGAGGGTTGACCACAGTAACGGAACAGTTGGTAAGTGATTGAGAGAAATATTGAAGCATTGGGTCATTTAACATGCAGTTGATGATCAACGGATGGCAGAGGATGGATTCTAATGTTGGCAGAATGTTTACTTGGCGTTGACCAATATTTCATGATAAAACGTTGACTGCAGCAGATGGTTAAATTGACCAGCTTCATATTTATGTTTCATTCAGTGTCACTTATCAATGACACAGCTGTTTTGTCTCCAGGTATGCGGATCTTGGTCACTCTGCTGCTCGACACTTTGCCTATGTTAGGCAACGTACTCCTACTCTGTTTCTTTGTCTTCTTTATCTTTGGAATCGTGGGCGTCCAGCTATGGGCAGGGCTGCTGCGAAACAGGTGCTTTCTAGAGAAAAATTTTACAACGTGAGTAACAGCTTCTAAACTCTGCATTCACGAAAGGTCCTTCGGAACCCAAAACAATCGCAGTTTCAGTGACTAGAGGGCATCAATTTAAGATAGTTAGGAAGAGATCTGACCTATAGTTATCGTTCCAGCAACAACAACTTGAATTTATGTGGTTCCCTCACTCAGGGAAGCATCCCAGAGTTCTTGATAGTGGTAGAACACGACTCCGAGCCGGGGGAGAGGGGTGTCGAAGAGGAAGGTCTTCAGGCGCAACTTGAAAATGGGGAAGGAAGGGGCAAGGTGGAAGGATAGTGGAAAACTGTTCCAGAGTTTAGGGGGTGGTGGCTGAGAGTGTGGCCACCGATGGTGGAACGGAGGGCTAGAGGTGCATGCAGGAGGCCGGAGCCAGTCGAGTGGAGGCAGTGGGTAGTGGGTCGGAGAGCTCGAATCTGAAGTCCAGCGTGCATTCCGGTTCAGTGAATCTGAGGGACTGGCCAGGGATGTTGAGGAGGTCAGAGCCGCAGGATAGAAAACATTGATGGGAGCCAAGGCTTCCATCTTGTGGACACTGAGCAGGATTCTCTCTAATGGTGTTATGTTCTGCCACAGACCTGCCCCACTGATGTTGGACAGGTATTACCACACTGAAAATGATGACGAGAATCCCTTCATCTGCTCCCTCCCAATGGACAATGGGATGCGTACCTGCCGGATGGTGCCACATACGCGAGTGGAAGGACTGGAGTGTACATTGGACTATACCAGCTACTCCCTGCTGAGGACCAACAACTCCGACAACACCAGCTGTGTGAACTGGAATCAGTACTACACCCAATGTGAGCCTGATGAACACAACCCGTTCAAAGGAGCTATCAACTTCGATAACATTGGTTATGCATGGATAGCAATATTTCAGGTAGACCTCAGCTTTCGCTCTGTCAAACACCGCGTTTGCATGGAAGTAGATTTGATTGGAGATGTCTCTCGGAGTTCATATTGTATCTGTTTTCTAACTTGTTTAGAATGGATATGGAGTCCCGTAGTGTAGTGGTTAGTGCGGATGCCCCACAAACGAGAGGAACCGGGTTCGATTCCAGGGAGGAGCGAAATCTTAGGCCAGTTTCCTTACTCCACATGCCTATTTACCTAGCAGTAAGCAGGAAATTTGTCAATTCACTTCACAATATCTTAAAAGGGAAAATGTTTAAGAGAGACAGTGTGTGTCGGGGGGAGGTAGGAGAATGGGAATAAATGGCAAGCTCTTTCAGAGCCCACACAGGCCTTCTCCTGTGCTGCAAGCTGCTATGGTTCCCAGAGACTGTTCTAACAAACTATTTTGAAGATTATTGTGTCAGGGGTTGAATTTCTGCCTGGTAATTACGCAATAATGATGACCTGGAAGGTGTGCGTTTGCCTGATTTCTGGAGCTTCTGGAGATTGCCCAGCTGACGGCATTATTGCTCATTATTGCCTGCTGAGCCAGTGTGTTCGGCTGACACGTTTAAGCCTCTGCCAAGGTTTGTGCTGAGGAACGTTGACTAAGCCTCTGCTCTCTTGCCATTGTTGTGTTCCAGCTATAGCCGCACGCCTTCCACTCCGGCCTCAATTAATATCCTTTCCTCGATGTAAAATGGATTTGTTAACATAAACATTTAAACCCAAACCATCTCTCAAGCTGGCTTGCTTGGACGCCACAGCGTGCAGAAATGTCCACATGTGCAAATAATCTTTCAAAGCACGCCAAGCATTATTGTAATTGTAGCTTTGAATGCTTCCTTGACCTTATTCAATCAGAGGGTTTATTTAGTTGGGGGAAGGTGGGATTTGGGAGGGGGCAAAAATGTTCTCTCTCTACGGCCAGACCCCCTGCAGCTGGAACCTACACACGCAAGTGGTAGAGTGGAATGGCATGCGTTGAAAGAGCTCACTTTCAAAATGCATTTGTTTTGCTGCAGTGATCCAGTGCCCTGATGTTTAACTCTGACTCCTTCATTTCACTGGGGATTTCCCTGCTATTAATGGATGTTTGTTTGCATGCTAGCATTTGTTATGTTTTTTTTGAGTTGAGTTGTCATGGTTGACCACAGAGCCGGACGTCACAGGCCAATCCCATTTGCCGTTCTCGTAGCATGCTACGTACTTGGGCCTGTTCATATCCCTCAACCCCCCTCTTGAGGGGTTTGAGGGATATGGAGAACTCATTCTTGTGTGTTTGTGACAAGGACCAGAGAGATCACGAGAGAGGTTCCTTTGACCCATTTCACCTCATCCTTCCACAATACCCACCCACCGTCCTTCCATGACAGCACCAAACTGTTTCTTAAATGAGTCCCAGCTTCTACAAGGGATCGTTGTGGAACCCAAACTGGTTTGTCTGATTCTACCCTAACTAAGTAGCCATACTTCCCACTCTGCGTCATAAGGTAGCAATCCCTTCAGATCCAAATTTCGCATGGTCTCAGCCTTTAGACCACTGTCTACAAATTTTGGAGAAGTGTGGAAAATTCTTAAATTCAATCTTATTTGAGAAGCCACAAAATACACAGGATATTCTGTGAAGCACTTTGAGACGTCTCAAAGACATAATAAGGCGCTATATCAAATGCAAGGATGTTTATTATTGTTATTATTAAAAGGAAACCACTTCCCAATTAAAGCTAAATTTAAGGATTTTCACAATTCTGCACAAGCTTAAATTCTGAGAGAAAATGGTCTCGCAGTCTAAATACAATGTAGAATTCCGGCCCTTTCTGTACTAAACAAATCTGGTGGGAAATTTAAAGGGTGTTTGATGTCTTTACAATGGGATTTTCCGGTCTACAAATAATAAATATAATTATTTTTAGTACTTAGCAGAACTCGGATGCCCAAATACCTAATCAAAAACAAATCCTCAGAATACATAGCAGTGTCTGAAAGCATAAAATCGGACGACATTTCTGATAGATCCTTTCTCTCTAAATCACTGTGATTCCCAGGCAGTTTGCCTTTCTCCTGTACCTCCGCAGATCGGTTCTCCCTTTGCCATTGTTTTCTTACCAAGCCCCCTCCCCACCAACAGAGGACGTGAGAACTGGTTATCCCACAGCAGAATGCTAATAAATAGTTCCAGATGCGAATTGGATTTGATTTGAAATCCCTTCCCTCTACAAGCTGATGTATATATTGATAATCTCTGCTTCGTGCAACAGAAGCCTTGCGTGCCAGCGTGTGGGATTTACTGTGATGGTCTGCATACAGTGATTTATTGGCTGCGTTCGCGTGACACTGCTGGAAGTGTTTTGGAGTCCCAGCGTGCGAGCCTTCAGCCAGCCTCCTCCGCGCCTGCGACTGATAGCAGACTGACAGCTCCTCATTTTCCTGCAGTCCCTCTGGTGACTAATTTCCCTGTTGCCTGCATCTGTCTTTGGTTAGGGCCTCAATTCTCTCGCTCTGGCTGGTACCAGGTTTCTTCTCTATTATTTCTCGCCACTGAGGTTTCAGTTTATCAACACCCCCTTCCCCCAAAAAACCCCAAAGAACAACAGGAGCAAAAACCCTCCAAGAGGAAATTCCCAATCCCATTGATTCTAATACAATACGTTTCTCCAGCCAAATGTAAACACTCACTCTATATCTTTGTGGGATATTACTGTGTGCAAACTGGCTGTCGTACTTTGCCCACAAGACACACAGTCAGTCAACTTTACAATATATCATGTGAAGCGCTTTGAGAAATTTTGACGACATGATAAGGCGCTATATCAAATGCAAGGTTTATTATTATAACAAAACCGGTGCCAAGGAACAGTTTATGGTGTGGAGCTGGTTAAAAGTGCAGAAGAGTCTCTTTATCTATTTTTGTTTTAATCCCTTTTAATAAGCACCTGGGCACAATACCTGAAGACTAGTCTCCCTGTAATTATAGGAAATTACAAATCAGAGCTCTCTTCATTGAGCTGTCTCACTGTGCTCCAACACGTGAGTGACAGGATAATTTCACGTATGAGAATTTACTGTAAATTGTAGTGTATTTGGTCGGCAAATGTGGCAGATAATTTTGCACACAGCCATGTCCCACAAATAAGCGCTGAAAAGGTTTACTGTAAAGTAAACATTAACTACATTTGTAGGCACCTCAGTGTTTCTATTTACCTTCAGATCTGTTCTCTGGTTTTCGCTGGTAAGTGGCAGTGAGGAGTGATTGAGAAAAACAAAGCACTGAATGATGCGCTCGCTGAAGTCGATTGAAGCGCATTTGATTCCTGTGGAACATTCATGTATTTCATTTTCTTCCAGGTTATCACCCTGGAGGGCTGGGTTGATATCATGTACTTTGTCATGGATGCTCATTCCTTTTACAATTTCATCTACTTCATCCTCCTGATCATTGTGAGTATTCAAACCAAATCAAGGTAGGACATTCGCGGAACTGGGATGTGGGGGAGGCGCAACATTACCCTCACGTGAACCTGGCCTTTCGTCTCAGGAACTTGGGCTTGAATCCAGCCCAGGCTGATGAATGAAAATCTTGTTTCCCTGACTGATGCCAATTTGGATTAGAAATCTTTGGTCACTTCCTGCAGACTGAGGGTCACAGGCCGGTATAATATCACTGTGCAGCGTAGAGGGAGATTTACCCTGTGTTTTACCAAGTGTTCTTAAGTGACCAAAGGAGCCTTTTAAAAATGATAATGGATGAACAAGATGAGGTTCTAAACTTTAATGAGTTAAAAAAAAAGTTGAGGCACATACAAGGAATATTTTTGTTGGAAAGATGCTTCTACTTAAGAGAGGTAAAATAGCCCTACCTTCCCTGCCCTCCTCCCTCCCCTCCCGATCCCATCCCCCTGCTCAGGACCAAATCCCTGGCTGTCCAGCGCCTTGGGACGCCCTCCTGTCACGAAAGACGTTTTGCAAACATAATTTGTTGTTATTGTTGCTGTTGTACAGTTGGTTTTGTGTTGAATACGAATTATCACCTTGTCTCAGCCTCTGAAACCATTTTGTTTTAAGTGACTTATAACCAGGCATAATTCTGGATGATGCTTCAATTTAGTGTTATATTGGAAACCAGTTCTTTGTAAAGAACTGCAGAACAATGGCTTTGGGTTCCTAAAGAAGACTGCATTTAAGAATTTTTCCCCCAATTTTCTAAAGCCTTGAAAGGTAAGGTAAAATGTTCTCACAGGCTGAGACAAGGTGGAGGTTTGGAACTCCCGTGCTCTTCGACAACCAACGCTTCTCTCTTATCTTCACTTCTGTCTTTAGGTGGGTTCATTTTTCATGATCAACTTGTGTCTGGTTGTCATAGCGACCCAGTTTTCCGAGACCAAACAGCGGGAGAGCCAACTGATGAAGGAGCAGAGGGTGCGCTTCATGTCCAATGCCAGCACTTTGGCCAGTTTCTCTGAACCTGGCAGTTGTTATGACGAGCTCCTCAAGTACATCGGGCATATGCTGCGCAAGGCCAAGCGACACCTGGTCCATGTTTACTATCTGGTTGTCACCAGGGGTGGGCCTCGCCCGGCCAGTAAGACCGGGCTGTGCCCCCAACCGCACAAAAGGAGGAAACGCAAACGCACGGCGTCCGTCCATCACCTGATCCACCACCATCACCACCACCACCATTACCACGTCAGCAACGGGAGTCTGAGGGCCCCACGGGCCAGCCCTGAGATCAGCAACATGGAGACCAACACCGTGCACAGCGCAGGCAACAGACTGATCATGCTTCCCTCACCTCTGCCCAACCTTCAACCTCCTCCCCTTCCCCCTCCCCCCTCTCTTCCTCCTCCTCCTCCTCCTCCCCCTTCTCCTCCTCCCCCTTCTCCTTCCCCACCCAGCACTTCAGGCAATACTGAGTCCGTTCACAGCATCTATCACGCCAATTGCCATATTGAGCCAATCCAGTGTAAGTCTTTCCTGAGGCCGGGCTCAGGCCTGCTTTCCCCAGATGCACTGCAGAAAAGCACAGCTACCAAAATCTACCCCACCGTCCACTCTGCCGCCCCACATGATGTGATCAACCTCGGCACTCTAGGGCAGAAAACTATTAAAGAGACCGCTGATGGCCGAATGGCTAACCTCAACATCCCGACCGGGCCGTATAGTAAAATGCACAGACTCCTGGAAACACAGAGTGCTGGTGAGTGAGGGAATGGCTATCAGCACATTTGGTGACATGGCACAGAGAACCCCCACCCAGCACACTCTCGGTTGATTAAATGCGATATTGTTAGAGTGTATAAATCATTAATTATATTGCTTACGTTTGTTGTAGCACCTTTCACAGTGGAAGGATGTCCCAAACTGTTTCACAGGATGTAAAGTGGAGTTATTGTGTGTTTTGTGGCGAAACATGGCAGCCAATTTTTCCACTACTTTCCCTCGGAATTCTTTTAATTAAATTATTGATCGCTTCTGACATGAAAAGCTCTATATAAGTGTAAATTGTATTGTAATTGTATTTTTGAAAGCATCTTTGGCAACCACCCTCCTGCCTTCCACCCCCATCAACTACCCTGCTTGGGCTCTCACTCTTGTCTCTGACATTCGACATGAAAGGCACTTTTAGACGCGCATATCAATATTGCTGAATATCACACATTACCAGTGATGGGAAGTTATTAGCTGGGAGTTTTATGCTTATTTGCCTATTTGATTCAATGTGACCTACTAAGCACAGAAATATAATTTACCTCATAGGTCCTTGTAAAGGCACCTGCAAGCTGTCTAGCCACTGTCTGTGCTACAAGTCCAGCAGAACAGGTGACATACTAAACTTTGACCCACAAAGTTGCCCCATCTGCATCAAAACTCTGAACAACGAGTCTGAGGTCACAGACAATGAGACGGCGGATTCTGATAGCGAAGGAGTGTACGAGTTCACCCAGGATGCCCACTACAGTGACCAAAGAGACACTCAACGCACGACACTCAGGCTGAAGAGGATCCGCAGATGCTGGGAGTTTTGGAACCTGGTCTGTGATACGTGTCGTAAAATCGTGGACAGCAAATACTTTGGGCGTGGAATCATGATCGCAATCCTCATCAACACACTCAGCATGGGGATCGAATACCATGAACAGGTAAAACACAATAAAGTTCCTTCCATACTCTGGAATATCCACATGCCTGAAGAGTTGTAGCTTGCCAACCTTGTTTTGGGGACTTGCCTATCCACATTCTGGGGTCCCCAAATCTTGTCCCTTGCGAGAGGGACTATTCATTCTCTAGGATGAAATGAACAAGGGATGTGCTTCGGAGAAGAGAGTACACACAGCGTTGTAGACAAATGGGAAATTAGTAGTACCAGTAGTTTGGTTTAGAGACTCTTAAGAATGGTGATGGGTTTCCACATGTCAGACACGTGAGTGACCCCCAAATATCCCTGGAATACGCTTCCAGTGTATTTCAAGTGGGCTACAAAGTTTTGGCACAAATATCTTAATGTTCTAACATGATGCATAGCAGGAGACCTGAAATTCCACCCAGTCTGGGGCAGTAAGGGTTGCAGGAGGTTGCAGAGGTAGGATGGGGCAAGGCCGTGGAGGAATTTGAATGTGTTCACGAGGATCTTGAATTGAATCCAAGAGGGATGGGGAGCACAGTGAGCATCACACATGGTATTGAGAGGTGAATGGTGATATTGAATGCAATTTGGATACGGAAGGAACAGTTTCGAGATTCTGTTTAAGCAGCAGAAATCCCAGAACCTATGGCTCAGGGAAATGGACAGTCACATTATACATCTAGGCCACCCTCCATTTGCAACATCTTTTTGCATATTAGCCTGGTTCAGTGTTAGCAGTACTCCGCCTTGGAGTCAGAAGATTGTGGGTTCAAGTCCCACGTTGGGAATTGCATTATCTAAGCTGACACTTTACTGAATGTCTTGTGAAGCACTTCGAGACATCTCGACAAAGTGATGACGCACTCTATCAAATAGATTATTTATTATTATTTATTATAAGTAATCTGCACAGTACTCCTCAAAAGAATATCACAGGTACTGTGAAAAGGCAAATTAGCCCTCCCTCGAGTCTTAAATCAGAATAAGCTCCACATAATTACTGCCACTCGAAGCTTCCCTGAGTAGAAAGACAAAGTATTGACCTTTCAGCTACTCTGCCACAATAAGCTTCTTTGACTTGTCCTATTTATACTGTAATTTCAGCTACACTTAATTCAATGTAATTTTGCGTCAAATGAATGTGGACAGTGCCCAGTAAAACCAGTTTTGGAGGAGATTGTTGCAGTTTTGAACCCCACTCTCTCTAGCGGGTAGTTTTGGTGTAAAATTGATCAATCGATGTTAATATTGATCGAATAGCTAGGAGTATTAGGGCAAGTCAAATAGGGCAAGTCAAACAAAGTTACTGTGCTGGAGTAGCAAATGCAGTAAATGTTTGAAGAATAAAATCAGATTTTAATAATTAGGTAATACTCCTAGCTCTTTAGTAACATTTAGTGGAGTCCTGCAGCGCAGTGGTTAGAGCATTCGCATCTCAAGCGAGAGGACCCGTGTTCCATTCCCCGGCAGGGCGAGACCTTTGGCAAGTTTCCTTACTCCCCACGCCTCTGTTTTACCTAGCAATAAGTAGGAAGCCAGTTGTTAGTCGATACGCGGATCGCTTTCCGGGGGTAATAATACTTTAAGTAATCCTGGTTGAGGTCAGGACTGGACTGATTTAAGAACTAGCTGAATGCTTTGACAGGAGGATGGTACAGTGGATATTTGGGAGGATGAGATCAGATAGTCGGAAGTGCCTTCATCCAATCCTCTCTCGTGAATAACGTTCGCTGTTAATGGCCCTCCAGCGAGGAGAGATTCAAATTAGCTGGTGCTGTTCCTTTGCAAAGTTATTATTGTCGCAACGTTTCCTATATCATTGATTTTGCTGTGCAAGTTGCCATTGTGAACTTGATTATAGAGGTACTGCATTCCAAATAATGGGAGTGATGGTGGGTGTAGTGCTCATATCTGCTTGCTAGCAGTTTCATTATACCACAGTCTTCATTGTTGTTTAATTCAATGATGTGACAGTCAAGCATTTCCTGTGGCCAATTGTAGCTGCTTCCATAAATTTGTCTTCATTGCTGGACTAATTGCATAACAATGGGAACAAAATTCCATTGAGATCCTTGTTAATGGCTTGGCCTCATACGGTTCAAGTAACGCTTGAGTACTGATGAATTGTCCATCTCCCCATATGAATACAGCTCAATTTCTATGCATGCATAATAACCATTACTGTACTGTAGAAAGTATTACAACAGGGAAATGCTGTCCTCTACCAATGTGTTGTAAATAAATTGTGAAAGACGCTGATAATGACAAGATGCTCAGTAGTTATTTGTAGCAGATTCTTTTCAGGCTTCAATAAAAATGTTCCAGTTTATTTTACTTGAATGCAAAAAGAAGGATATGATCTGAATTTTATACAAGACAAAAAAAAACTTCATCACTCAGTCCACAACTGTTTGTGGGACACTGCTGTGTGCAATTGACTGCTGCATTTCGCCCACAAAATATCTCAAAGCGCTTTGAGACGTCTTGAAGACATAATAGGGTGCTATATCAAATGCAAGGATTATTATTATTATTTGTATTGCTCAATCTTAACTATCATTTCTTCTGCACAGTTGCTGATGTGCGTCTATGTCTCTCAGTGTAACATCTGTCTGAATAACATCTGTCTCCTATCCTTTAACACACAGCTTGCCTCATCAACAGATTTTTGATTTCACTCAAGATTATTAATAAATAATATGAAGAACAGAGATTTCAGACTCCACTTATTACAGTTGCCCAATTAATATTGATATTACTATCTTGTCCAATGTTCTGGTCAAATATTAATCTAACTTGATAATAAAATAATAATCCTTACATTTGATATAGTGTCTCAAAACACTTATTTTATTGTAAAGTGTGCTGGAAAGTGTAGTGGCAGCCAATTTGTGCAGAGCAGTGTCCCAAAAACAGCCATGAGATGAATCACAAATTTTATCTCGGGGATTGTTGGCGATGACACCAGGAGAAACTCCCTTGTCTTTTTGCATGGTGTTATGGGATCTTTACTGTTCGTCTGAACAGGTAAACAGGAACTTGGTTCAATGTCTCATCTGAAGGACGGTACTTCCGACAATACAGAGCCCCACCACCAATGTACTAGACTGTAAGATCAAAGTCCTGATGTGGGGTTTGAACCAACGTCCTTCTGACTCAGAGGCAAGAATGCTACCAACTGAGCCAGACTGACATCTAAATTTAGAAATTTTCTGCACAGAAAGAGGCCATTCGGCCCTTCATGCCATCGGTACCTGCTTTTCTAAATTGCCCTTTATTTAATTAATGAAAATTCCCGTCTCTCTCCCCACATTGGTTCCTGTTTGAATAGTTCAGTTGCTCACTCAATTCCTTTCTGAACCATCGTCTTCATTGAATTCCAAACACTGATAGCCTTCAGAATGAAGAAATTGCTTTTCACTGTTCTTCTAATGTTTCTGCCTTCAATCTTTTTGTGCCTGGAAGCCTCACTTTATTCGTAAATGTGGTGTCAAGGACCTTATAGAATTGTTCAGCAGAGAAGCTGGCCATTGAGCACATCTTTACATGTGCTGCCTTCCGTAGTCCATGTCCACCTGATCAACTGCTCTCTGAAATTCACCGCGTAAGAGGAACACTGTTTCCCTTATGCACTAAATCTGCTATATCCATTATCGCAATGCACTTTTCAGGTGCGACTTAACTTCCATAAGCCTTTCGTGACTTCGTTTACAACCTTTAACTTTCACTAGATTGATGCGTGTGTCTGGGTCTGGGGAAGAAAAGACGTGAGTAAACCCAAAGGAAAAGCAAAATAGAAAACGGCAGTTATCTTGAGGCCAGAAACCAATCCCTTTTATACAAAAGCAAATGGAATCCAGGTCATTTGTGAGCGTTCCACTGAGTTCCAGTAATTTCATATTCAGGTAGTTTTTGCTGGAAGGAGGAAGGTATTTGATCTATGTAATTGTTTGTAATTACCATGTTCAGTGTACCCAGTGCCAGACTACAGCCACATGCAGAGCTGCATTAATGCCAGAGTGAATCAAGGGCTATTACCTTAAGCCTCTTGTGGTGCAGTAGCATTGAGCCACTGCTGAGGGATTACAGATCGACTTGTCAATTTCAGCAGTTTAATTCAATTGAATTTGTATTTTATTTCCAATGCTATAAGTTCAATCTTATTGTAACTCTGTGTTTAAGATTGAGATATCCTTATGTAATAATAATCCTTGCATTTGATATAGCGCTTTGGGCATCTCCCTCGTTTCTCACTTTCTCCCACCTTGCTTGGGGTTACACTCTATCTATAATGTGCTTTGAGATATTTTCCTGCATGAAAAGCAAGTACATTAAACATCAAAGGTTGTGGGTTCCACGCTGGACCTGGTCCAGTGCAGAGCTGTGAAATACGTGAAATATATTTGAATGTAGATGGTGATCAAGTTGTAGATACATTTATTAGAAAACATCCATGTAGGCTATTTTCCTCCTCATTTGGAATCTGTTATCAATAGACTCAGTCAATACTATGTGTTGGTGCCTTGTGCAGCCACAGTGCGTCAGAGAGATCGTGAGTGAGAGAGAGAGCAGATGTGATCTTACACTTGGCCTCAACTTGTTCTCTTCTAACATACCAGGAAGTGAGGAAGGTTAAAGTTTAGAAAGGAGACAACTGTGCAACATTTAACTATTAACCGAGATTCATACAATTTAGTGTTGCCTCCCAGGTTGTGTGTGTGTATGAAAAGGCATTAATGAAACCTTTCCTCATGGTTCAGAGGACAAATGAATTGCCCAATGTTGTCTGAAGCAGACACAATTATAAGATCCAAGGTTCAATCCCTGGTTTCTGCTGATTTAGCTGAACTTAACTCGGATGACTGCTGGCTCATTGAAATTGGCCTCAGCTCTCCCGGTCCAAAGAAGGGAATAACAGTCAATTTTCAGGCTCTGCTTTCCTTTGCTCTGCAAGACGTTGAAACCCTCCCAAACAATTCAAATTCAGTTAGAATAGGGAGCTAAATCCTGAAGGAC